CATAAGGCTGTACTCTTCGCGACGTCCAGATGTGTACGAAAATTTTTGTGATATACTCTAGCATACCAAGTCACCAGAGGCATGCTTTCAATATCGTAGGTATCTGGGATGACTGAATTTTCCCTTAGAGGGAGTGTGAGCCGTATGGCTAAATCTAAATCATACTTAAAAGAAAACTTAATTCCAAGCACATAGTAAAAGCAATAAGTACATACGCAATACCATGCACACAATGCGGTAGAAGAACGGGGTGTTTTGGAAATATCACCCACTACTTAAAAAAATAAAGCAAAAAAAAAAACAAAGAGAAAAATATATAGAGCAGCAATTAGATCGATGATCGCATACGGAGCAGAAGTAATGTGTCTTACGAAAAAAGATGAAGAAAAAGTCAGAATTATTAAAAGAAAAATTATAAGAATAAATAGACCAATAAAGCCAGGACACGAAGAATGAAGACATGTTCGCATGTTTTAAATAACATTTTTGTTATTTCCCACTAAAATATTACACACATAATACCAAATCATTTAATTTTTAACTAGGTATCTACAAAAATGTAATATAATATGATGTACGAATTTAATGGTAATACGATATTCACAGATATAGCCGCAAGTATAATAATTTATTTGTCAATAAAATTGTTTAGATAATGAATGTGTATATGGTATATATTCCGACTAACACAGCAAAACAGTAAAGTATCCTACATAATCCAAAAGACAAAAGACAAAACATCCAAAAGACAACGAGACACTCCATATTAATAATATCCAGATAGAAAGGGTAGATAAATACAAATATCTAGGAACATTGGTTAGTCAAAACGCAGAACAAACGCAAGAGATTAAAAGCCGTATAGAAATAGCAAGGGCAAAATTTGTAAAAATGAAACATCTATTGTGTAGTAGAGACCTAAGAATGGATCTAAGGATAAGGTTATTGCGCTGCTACATTTTTACAACTTTGCTCTACGGATCTGAGGCATGGACATTCAAACAACTGGAGATTAACAAATTGGAAGCTTTTGAGCGTTGGTGTTATCGAAGGATGCTACGAATAGCATGGGTAGACAAAATTACCAATATTGAAGTCCTTGATAGGGTTAATAAGAAGGAAGAAATTGTACAGACAATTAAGGAGCGGAAACTTGAATATTTCGGTCATATATTAAGAGGTCCTCGTTATGGGCTACTACGTTTGATTATAGAGGGCAAAATAAAAGGTAAAAGAGATGTAGGAAGAAGACGAACCTCCTGGCTACGAAATCTAAGGGAATGGTTTAGTCTGAGCTCTAGCCAACTATTTAGAGCTGCTGTAAGTAAAATAAGAATTGCCATGTTGATATCCAACCTTCGTTAGAAGTTGGAACCTTAAGAAGAAGAAGATCCTACATAATGATGTTAATATATCTTTACTTACTTGGTTTACAACTAAGCATATAAGTTATAGCGTATTTTATAAAATTACTGTCTACACAAGTTGGCAATTCAGCCAATGGATATAATGATAGAAAACTGCAATTTATATTAGGGTTTAAAAATAATACATAGTCATCATGTAGAAATCTACAATTAAGTTAAAAATCTACCAGAGTAGCGTGCCGCAATAGAACCATCTCTAGAATCAGAAACAAATTAATTAAGGGTAAAGATCAACCTTAATGATAATCGACATCTGAGTATGAAACATATTATGTTACAGAACAATAATATTCTCTTAAATATAAAAAAAAATATATTTTTACCTTTAAAGTGTTTAAATAAATAAAATAACAAAATGTAGTAAATATACATAAAACTTTATTTTGATCAATTTAAAAAATATACCGGAGAGACATAGACTTGTCTCTTTTATCAGATAAGCAGAATTTATTATACGTTGTATGGAAATTTGAAAATTGTCTTCATATTACTCACTGTCAGAAGGAGGTAATATTGTTTCTTGAATAACATTTTTGATAAAAAATTTAAAGTTTTGTTGCATTTTTGCATATTAGCATCATTATTTTTATATTGAATAATTTTCTTTTAGGTACAACGAAGTTAAAAGTAGTAATCGGGATATTTTTGTAAACGTCAATACTTTTCCTCTTGAATGCAATGCATACAACGCAGAATTACAATGCAACACAATATTTTAAACGATTTTGGAAAAAAATTACAAAACTATTAATCTGCATATTTATAAAACACAAATATTTACCAGACAGTGTTATAGATTACAATTACCTTAAAAATTATTATATTAAAAAATAAAATAGGTATATTGGTATATTAAAACTTAATAAGAAGACAAAGAGGGTATCATTGCCTGGTATAATTAAGGGATGGATTGAGTAGCTCTGTGCTTACCACAGCCGGTCCTAAGCCCAGATAAAATGTGGTGGATGATAAACAATTTTTAAGGTTAGTAACTTACCAATCGTAAAAACTAATATTGCTCAAAGAAACAATGTTTCAATCCTCGGAGTAGGACTGATACTATGAAAATCACGGTAAGAAATATGGACAATCGAAAAATATCCAAAACCCAGATAAGAATTACTACATGAAATATCAGATTTTTTAACTGACGGGACCAAGAAATCAAGAATTCAAGGGTTAAAAGAAAAACAAATAGACATTTGAGCTCTACAGGAAACATAAAAGAAAGAAAAAGGACAATCAAAATTAGAAAAATTCATACTAACCTATAGTGGAGTAGCAAAAGAAAACAGGGCCAAAGAAGGTGCAGCCTAACTTTACTAATACAACAAAGGTACCAAAATTACATCAGAGTGTTAATACTTATTAGAAAGGATTGTAACAGCAAATATAAGAATGGAGAAGGAAGAAACATGATCGTAGTATACGGGCTAAACAAAAACAAGCCTTAAACAACAAGGAAAATGTTTTGTGACCAATTGCAACAAGTAGTATATCAAGTAAGAGAAAAGATGATAAAATTGGCGGATTTTACCGCTCGAATAAATAATCAAGTAGTACCTACTAGAAATTAAGCAAAAACATAATGAGAATATTAAAAACGAAAATGAAGAACTGTTTGTTAACGTTTGTACGAATAACGAGCTAAAAATGGACAAAGATCTATGATAGATTACGTAAATACTAACAGAAATATGACGTGTATATCCATAAAAAATATTCAACGTAAGATGACTTCACTAAGCAGATGTAGGTAGGTATCATAGCCTAGTATTATGTAAAATATTCCACGGAACACTTATACAGAAAAATAATATTAAAGAATATTAATGGGAATGAAATATTGGAAAATAATAATAGCAAGACAGCAGGAAAAAACTTAAAAATAACAATTAACGCAGCAATAGAATCACTTAAAGGAAAGCAACAAATACTAACATATCAAAAACAAAAACATCGTAGTTTGGAGAGGAAGTGAAGATAAAACGTGAAGAACAGTAGAAAGCTTTTTTACAATACACAACACAATTTAACAAAACAGGCATATAACTACTATAAACGAATACTTTAGTTAGACAAATAAAAAAGGAACACTGGCAGAGCGCCTCAGAACACATGGAACACAACTTCTACACACAGATAGAAATATCAAAAATAATTAAAGAACAAAGAAAAAAAATGAAAAAACTGATAAAAATGAAACACATTCAGAAAGAAACATAGGCAGACTACTTTCAGACAAAAAAAACGAGAAAATAAATGATTATAACAACAAATTTACTTAGATGTTAATTGCAGCAGGAAGGTCAGATCATAGAACAAAAGTCGGAGTTTAAATATCTAGGCGTCAGAATATCTAGCTACACAAAGCTCAAAACAGTGGAGCCAAAAGTGGAAGATCAAGTGAATAGATTAAACAGAGCCGCAAGTTGCCTGAATGAAACAATATGGAGAAGTAAAAATATCGTAGAAAAGATAAATAAAAAACAGAATTTACAAAACAGTTTTCAGACCAGTAATAACTTACGCGGCAAAAACACGACCAGAGAGAAAAAAGAAACAATAAAGGTAAAAAAGACTTAAGAAAATAGATGGCTAAACACATTGGGATAGAGCTTTAAGTACAGATATACAAAGCAGATGCAAGGTAAAGAAAATTTAGTATTGGGAAGAAATAGAAAAGTAAAATTAAACGATTATATAACCCAAATAATAACAAATAGAGTATCAAAAACGGCAAGAGACGGTTACTCAATAAGAAGACGATCAGTAGGAAGACCACATAAACGATGGAGCGACAACTTACTGGAGGTTGACAGTTAACAGAAACAGATACAGTTATGTCTACATAGAAAGAAGGAGATAAAAAAAAAGGATAAAGAGAGTCTGAGAGTGGCTCTAATTAATGAAAAATTAAAAAAAACCATAAACTAAAATTGTGGGTGTTGCTTCATGTACTACTGGAAAGCTTTTTATATCGTCAAGTCTGAACACTATACTGTCACATAGTGTATGTAATGTATGTGACATTACAGTTAAATGCATGCTTTGTCGTAATGAAAAAATAATATTTGCTTTCTACCCAAGTCAAGCAGCTAAGAATAATACAGAAAAACTAATAGGAGTTTACGAGAATAAAGTCATAGAATAAGGTATATTATTCGACCAATGCTTTTTAATATATAGCTAATACATATTAGAAAATTAACAAAAGGACTACAAACATCATAAAGGGTAGGAATGAACGGTTTTAATTGCAAGCACTATTAAGAAAAATTAGTAAGAAATATGACCCCAATGTAATGGCAAACAAAACAAAAATGCCTATATTTACAAAAATAAATAAAAGCAAGAGTTATTACTTAATGATACAAACAGAAAGACCATGGAACAAATGTCTGGACAATGTAATGAATAGGGCGAGCAAGAAATTAGATTGATGCAGAGCGGTATTCTCGAGTCCTTCCTAAATTTTTAATTTTATGAATTTACCTCATAGATATTGTCTTCTTTTTATTATTATTGTTTAGTAAATTTTTAAAAAACTTATATAAATCATATTTTTTTTAGTCTCATTGGACGAGGATTATGAAGATTTTGATCCAGACTACAATGATTTCAACGGCACGTCATTTGGTCTAAAGTTGTCAACAGATCTAGCTTATCACTTTTATTGCACGCGACATCCTACCAAGAGTATTAAAGTAGAAATTGGTACAATTAGCCGGCTAAAAAACACAAACTTTTCTGCAGAAAAGGAAACGCTATTTATTGTGCATGGTAAGTGTTTCATTGTTTTGCTTATAAAGCCTTTTTAAATAAAAGCCAATGATTACTAAAATAAAACATTAAATAATTAATATTGTGGTATTGTGGTATGTTCTGTGTTCTTTGAGGGAAGACCAATTCCTTGCGTACAGTCAGTTCACAATATTGTTAAAAATTTTAAGAGTTGTTATTGCCTCCAAAACTGCAAAAAATGCCACGCTCAAGAAGTGTCACCAGAAAAAGGTGAGAAAAGAGAATACCGTGATACACAAATTTTTGCAACAGTCGAGGTAGATTCAACACGTTTAAGTAGAAACGCTGCTAAGGAGGTAGATGTTAGCAATGTTACTGTAACGAAAGTGTGGAAAAAGCCCGGTTATAAGAATTTTATATATTTAAATACGCAGCAGATTTATCCAGACGACTACTTTCGAAGAATGGAATTTTCTGTAATGACGAAGGCTAATGATAAACAAAATTTTATTAAAAACATTTTATTTACTGATGAATCTTCTGTTTCGATAGTACGAAGACACAATCCTTTCATTACGAGGTATTGGGCGCGGGAAAACCAGCACATAATTGTTGTTTACCGAACTCAGCGTCCTCAAGAAGTTAACGTCTGAACTGGCATTTTATTAGACCACATAGAAGACCCATTTTTTATGGAACTTGAATAGTAGAGTATACCTCGATTTGTTACAAAATTATGCTCTTTCTGCTATTTTTAATACTCCTGAATGTAAATCTTGAAATTGTTTGATTCCATTAAGATGGTTGTTCAGTTCACAACGCTCGAATAATTGAGGAGTACTTAAACAATACTTTTCCGAATCGAGTTTATATTGGATCAGGCGATATTAAGTGGCCTGTGCAACCTCGAGATCTTTCATCTATGGACTTCTTGTCTGGGGACATTTAAAAAGCATCATCTACGGTTATCCTGAGGCTAAAGCCCAAATTATTATAGAAATATATAGAAATTATTTTTTATTTTTAATAACAACATATTTTTTGTTTTATCTTTTACAAGAAATGCGCTTTTATTTTTAATTCAGCCAAAAAAATGTTTCACATTATTGAAAACCAATAAAAATGCACTGGTCAGTGTATTTTCATCGAGTTTATGTTATAAGAAATAAACCGGGTATACGTAAGCAAAACAAAAATCAACAAATGTAGATGCATAACCCTTCCGTTGCTATGTGTTACTTAATGGTTATTGTTTTCTCGTTTTCTTTTTGTAAAACTAAGCCTAAGGTGTCGAAGAGAATCGTATAATGACAAATACCTCGTATAAGGCAATGTTGCCGATTTTAGCGTTTTAAGTAGTTTTCAATATCTAATCCAAAACTTAACCTACTGTGTTTGTATAAAACTGTATGTGTATAAAAGAGTAAAAGGTCATTACATTATAATATGATGTTGACTATGTCATCTATGCATATATTTGGAAAATGTAAAGTAAATTATTTTATTACTTAAAGTGAGATCTCCGAATCGTGTAGGCTTATGGTGTCTCAGAAGGGTATAGATATATGGATGATCATCATTAGCTCTATAACCCATAGTGGGTCTTAGATTCTTCTAGGATTAGCTTTCATTCCTTCCTATCCTTTTTGAACATGCGTCTCTAATGCGAAACACAATGGCTTATGGTCTGTCTAGATTGTCTGCAATCGCACTGTGGACTTTCTGCACGACCCCATCCTGAACAGCGAATCAGCACATTTACCATGTCCGGTACGTATACGATTAAGCCTCGCCCAAGTGGACCGGGCAGATTTGATCCGATGAAATCCTGAGTTGGGGTGGATATCTTAATATACTCCGATTCTACTGTTGTCATCCATCTTGTTGTCCATTGCCTATGTATATCATAGGAATTACCAATTTTTCGGGCAGATCGTATTGGAGGATTTCTAGATCTCAGTCGCTGGTGCTCTTTTGAGATGTCTGGGATATCTTGATGTATTGGTAATTGTACGTTGGCTACAATTTTCTGGTACTCTCTCACTAATGCTGCTGTACGGCGTAGATCTGGTGGAGCAATATTGCTCAGAGTAGGCAGCCATCTCACTGGCGTTGGTTTTATTGTTCCAGTGATTATTCTCATGGTTTGATTAAGTTGGACATCGATTTTGCTTGTATGTGCACTATTTAGCCATACTGGTGCACAATATTCTGCCACTGAAAAAACCAAAGCTAGAGCAGAGATCCGAAGAGTATCTGCTAGAAGCACCCAAGTTGTTCCAGCAAGTTTTGATATTAAGTTATTTCTTATTCTAGTTTACCGCTGCGTTTGTAAGATGACTTTTGAAGTGAGTGTTCTATCAAGTGTGACGCCTAGATATTTGGGGTTGTTGTTATGTTTGATAGCTGTATCATTTAGAGTTACATTGAGAGTATCGCCCGCAAGTTGATTCGACAGCTGAAAGAGACAGGTTTCAGTTTTGCTTGTGTTAGGACGTAAGCGCCAGTTCTTAAAATAGTTACTTAGTGTAGTTAAGTCCTTAGAGATTTTGTTTCAGGTCTAGACCTATACATATATTAACACCGTTTTCTAGAGTTGAAAAAACTGGCATAAATCGAATAGCCTGGACTTCCGACACCACCAACTTGGAACTTCCTCACCAAATTGGCAAAGAACGTGAGGGACTCAAATTTTCTGAGAAAGACCTTAAACAGAATTTTAAATAAAATTAAGGGTTGTAATAATGCATATAAGAAAAGAAATATTTTTAATACAGAGACCATGATTATCTTCATTTGTGGGTATCAATTATGTTCATTTTCTGGTACATTTGATCTGCAAAGTTTAGAATGTGTTTTTTTAAATTAGTTAATATATCAGGAGATTTATGGTTGGACCTATATGAACTTTATTTTATGAAAATAAAGGATTCTTTGTTTTTATGAACCGTAAAAATAATTTTAAATTTTAAAACATTATATTTTATTTATTCTAAAATGTCATAATATGAAAAAATGGATATGTAAATGTAAGCCGATACAAATGATGTAAATTCATGTAAAAATATGCTTATGTTAAAATAGATATGCCTGCAATGATATTTGGACTTTTTAAAAAAATTTGTTTATATTTGTAGTTGTATAATATCGGACATATTTTCTATTACAAAAATTTACAAATTTGACAAGTGTACAAAAATTTCCATAGATTTTAAAACAAGCAAGATTTTTCAGAAATACAATATATGTTTACTATGTATAACGAAATATGTTCTAAAATGCATTCTGAAAATCAATGGTGGATACCGCCTAACTAAATCTAACAGGGCGGTACAAGGAGAAATGTTGCTTTTTGACACGTGGTATCGGTGAGCCTAAGACTGGATGTAGTATATATTTTAGGAAGATATTAAAATAAAGGACCATTATATAGAAATTTTGGAAAATTTAGCACCAAAAACATCTCAGAAACAACTAAAAACACTACAAAGATTACCGTAAATAACAACAAATGACACATGAAGGATAATTTGTGAAAAACTGTTTATCAAAATATTCATAGACATGACAACCACAATATAAATGGAAGAATTAAATGACAATTGAGATGAGACACTGATAATTGGAAGACCAAATATTAGCTCAGACCTCACTTGAAATAACATTAATCTTAGAGTCACAATAACAAAGAATAAAAGGAAAATCCCCCCGATTGATTACTTAATAAAATTATATCCACAAACTTGCCTGTTTTTAAATTTACCAAAAAGACAACATTAGTATCTTATTCTGCAAAAAAGCCCACATTTTATCTTCTCAAATGAATAAGTTTAATGATAAAATGGATTCAAAGACACAAAAATCAGAAATCGTAATATTTTACAACTCGACGAGTCGATACTGTCGAACAGATGTGAAGTAATCCTACAAAACGTGGGTCAACAATACGAGATACAATCTCTAAATGAAGGCGATTCGACACACAATCTAATCTTCCTGACTCTGGGCGCAATAGAAATGAACTATTTGCAGCCCCACAAGAGAAAGAAGACAACTGACCGAACTTCAGAAGAATTTTGAGCAAAAACATCGGTAATATCCCAACAATTAAAAATATTAGAGAAATAAAAAACAGAGTAACAAAATTAGAACAAACAATAACTAACGCTATCGATGCCAGCTCCAAAACTACAACAATCACCAGGCAAAAATGAAGATTTAGGGATATAAGTATAGAACTTCAAAACCTAATCAAAGAAAAAAACAGGAAAAGAAAAAGAGCATACCGTACAAGAACAAGAGAAGACAAAAGGATTGCAAACGAGCTAGACAGTGAAGTGAAAAGAAAACTCCAAGATCACAAAAAAAAAGCTGAGACACCTATACTTAAGAGCTAAATCCTGACAAATCTGCTTTCTGGAAATTATCAAAAATCTTCCGAAAGGACAAGAAACCCATACTTCCTCTACACGGAGAAAACGGGATTGTTCACATGGAAATCGATAAAGCAGAAGTCATGAAGGACAAATTAGAAAGGGCATGCAGAAACAACGAGCACTCCAACGAAGACCTAGACTACAAAGAAGAGGTAACAAGAACAGCCAGAAGATTAAAAAGAAAAGAATGACAGAATAGCGATAATGCACACATCTCCTGAAGAAATAAAAGAGCTAATAAGGCTAACAAATGCCAAAAAAGCCCAGAACCTGACAACATCACAAACAGGGCGCTGAAAAATCTACCAACAAAAGCTATTTTTTACATCACCAACATAATAAGCAATATGCTCAAGTTAATATATTTTCCAGACAGATGGAAGGAAGCACATGTCATCATGATTGCTAAGCCAGGGAAAAATGGCACATTTTCACAAAACTACAGACCTATTAGCCTTTATTATCCATAAGTAAGATAGCGAAAAGAATTATATTAAAAAGACTTAACGAAGAATCGGAAGCACTACACACCCTACCAGAAGCTTAATTCGGGTTCAGAAGCGAACACTCCTGCGAACTTCAGGTACTAAGACTATCAGAATTCATAACAAAAGGATTTAATGAATAAATGTACATGGCAGCAGCATTTCTGGACGTGAGTAAAGCATTTGACAGAGTCTAGCATGAAGAACTCACTTATAAGATGAACTCAATGGTATACAGCAAGGCGATGACATGCCTCCTTGCATCATACCTCGCCAACAGAAGGTTCAGAGTTCAGATAGGGGCAACCCTGTCCGAGGTCGGGACCCAGGAAGTAGGAGTGCTTCGGGGAGTGGTACTATAGCCGTACCTGTACACCATTTATACTGCCGACACGCCAACAGAACCAAGATCTCTGTTAAGTCTTTACGCTGACAACACTGCAATAGCTGTTAGCTGGAGAAACCTAAGATCCCGATAAAACACAGGTTGTTATGTTTAGTCATAGAAGAAGTGTACCAAACCCAGAAATCACGATCGGAAACACCCCAGTAGAATGGACCAACCAGGCAAAATACCTAGGGGTGTTACTCGACAAGAAACTGAGTTTACTGAACACATCAATCAACAAACGTACAAAGCTAAAGCGCTAAAAAATTAGCTTTTAACACTCATAGGAAAAAGAAGTAAACTTAGATTTAAAACTAAAATCAGGGTTGCGAATAGCATCATCCTGCCAGTCCTATCGTAATCCTCCGGTGCGTGGGGACACACCTGTAAAACAAACAGGAAAAAGATACAGAAAAATCAAATAGTCAGAGATGCCCTTAAGATACCTAGATACGTACCACTGAGATACGTATATAGAGACTCAGGGCAAACAAGAATTCTATGCACGCTAGACGAGAGAGCATATGAAATATTTAACGGACCAAGAAACCACCCTACCAGAATGCTAAGAGAGCTGACTAACTACAACGAGAACATACGGACGGTACACAGAAGACCAAAACAACAGATAGCTGGATATAGAGAGAACCGAAATGAATAAATAAAGAATAAGATGGTTGCGGAGATGAGGGACTACCGATATCCAGTCATCAGAAAACACCACCAAAAAAACTTTGGCGAGATGGTACGCTTTTAGTTTTTTAGGTTAGGACTCTGACGAGAGCATACAGGTACCAAGGTACTTAGGTAAGAACACTATACACGGGGTGTGTGAAGGTCCTATACACCCTGGAATGCACACACCAACACACCCACACTATAGAATTACGAAAAAAGGGTAAGAATTGTTACCAGGCATTTTGGAGTCCCGAAGCTCCAAGTAAGACCAAAAAAATGTGTTTTTTCTGATAATTTCACTTAGTTTCTCAATTTAATATCTTTCACTAAACGTTTTAACGTATTTAAATTTACTCTTTTAAATATAGAAGGCCCGTCAGCACAGTTAGGTGGCATAACCACAGTCAATAAAAACAGAAGGTGTCTCATTACCTAGGGCACCTTAAGTAACTTTCAGATCATAAGCCTCCTCACGTAAGTCACACGATGAGGAGGGTGGAGGAAAAGCCTGGAGGTGCGGTACATCAACAGCTGGTAAACAGCAAAATATCGCAAAACGAGATTTCTGTTTTAATTAATTCTCTACCACGAACACAAGAGGTGTAAATTTTTAATACTTTTATTTGTTGCGAAAATATATATATTTTTTTTAACTTGATTTCGGAAAAACAACTATTGGAACTATATATTTTTAAAGTTTTTAATTTCACTTAAAATAATAGTGTCCGGTTAATTTTTTGATGTAGCTTAAGAATAAACAGCGAAATCAATATATGCAAAACGTGTGCTAAACCTATTAAAACATTCAAGTTATCAAGTCAAGAGGGTATATTAACAAACCAAAAATATGCTGCCGGTAGCACAAATTATCATAATGAGAAGTACTACTTACAAAACTAGAAGAAACGGCGTGCGACGTAAGAAACGAATAAAAAAAGACATACTATCAAGAATTGCGCTAAGAGAAGATCAAGTGAGAAAGCAAAAAATTACAGGAGATCAAGAGAGAAATGATGATCTACTTTTCAAGAAATATTATATTGGTATCATCAGGTAAGAATATCTTAAAAAAAAAATAAGAAGGGATATATTATGTAAAAGAAATGTGAAAATGCTGCATGTGTTTTGGAGAAAGACTGACTTTACCGTCTAGCCACGAAGTGTTTGAGTCTGAGTTTCTACGACGGCACCAATATTTTAAACATATTTTTCGAGAAACGAGTGATAAGTTGATTTCTATTACCTTTTTTTTGGTTTTTTGTTTCATAATGACTAAGTTCATTCACTTCTCAAATTGGTGAAAAGCTAAATAGTTGGACAGAGGTTTAAAAAAATCATACAGTTTATATTGTATGTTAGAATTTTAAACAAAATTAATAGGTATTTAAGTCCATTTTTTATTAAATTAATTATAATTTTTAGGTTGGAAATGTAACAATGTATCACAAATAAACCGAGAAATTACCGCAGCTATTCTAAAGAACCACGACATTAACGTTATTGTTGTAGATTGGAGTAAAATGGCCGGAAAAAATTACATTTCTGCTAAGAGAGCCGTTACTAGAGTTGGATTATATGTTGCTGGCTTCATTACAGAACTAAAGGCGAACTTTGGATTAAGACTTGAAAAAGTAAAATTTGTAGGTCACTCCTTAGGTGCACACATATGTGGGAATGCAGGTAAGGTCCTTAATTAGGCAATTGTTTTAAATGAGTTTTTCTAAATTAAAAACGAGATAAACCAATTTCACATATACTTGATAAGCAATTATTTTATAATTAAAACAGTAAATAGTTGCTTTTAAGCATTACACAATTGTATTATAATAATACACTCCGTCAAAAAAGTAACACATATGAAACTGTAAATTTTGTAGTAAAAATAATTTAATACATTGATTTTTTACTGCTGTTTTTTTTTGTTTTTTAATTACGTAACAAGTATTAAAAATAAAAATCAAAAGTAATGATAATTTAGTAAGACGTATTGAATCCTCTTTTTTTAACTAACGGACAATTAATAGAAGAATATACGACAAGGAAACTTACAGGGTCACTTGCTTCTCGTCTAGAGCCCACCAAGACATTCTTAAACTGGACCACGGATAAGGTGTTATAACATTAAGGGTAAACAAATATTTCAACTTTGATGGTACACAAGGCAAATATCGAACACAGTATTTAATCAAATCTTGCCCAAGTACTTTCGATCACAAGATCATCCTCAGGGGCATTTCGTCAGTTGTGGCCTATCCAGCAGTAACATATTGTCATTACTGCTGGATAGGCCACAACTGACGAAATGCCCCTGAGGATGATCTTGTGATCGAAAATGGAAAGATTTGATTAAATACTGTGTTCGATGTTTGCCTTGTGTACCATCAAAGTTCATTTATTTGAACATTCAACCTTATATTGATTTATAAACAAATATTGCCTCCTCTAGCTCTTATAATATCTAGACAATGTTATGGCATACTTCTAATTAATCTTCTTAGATATTCTTAATCAATATTATCCCATTCTATGGTTAACAAACGTTGCAGGTCTTGAAGATTAGCTGGCGTCACATTACCAGATCTCAGCCTTTTTTAAATATGGTTCCAAACATATTCTATTGGATTTAAGTCCGGGCTGCTGCTATCCAATTCAACACTTGTAAATTTACCTCTTGAAGGTACTCGGTAACGATTTCTGCGACGTGTGAGCGTGCATTGTCTTGCATTACACCACAGTCATTACCAATAAATGCGGCGTAAGGAACAACATGCATCTTCAAAATTCCTCTAATGTACCTATCAGCAGTTAAGGATTCTCCATCAAGCTGTATCAATTCCATTTGTCCCCTAAGAGATATTCCTCACAAGAGCATAATAGATCCTCCTCCAAAGTTTGTCGCCGGTCTTAGGTTACATTGAAAATAACGCTTGCCATATCGTCTATAAACTGGTATTCTTTGATGCGAAGTGTATAAAAAGTTAATCATGAATCATCTGTAAAAATATGTTATCCCAGTCGTCGATATTCCAGTTTACGTGCTTTCTTGCAAATGTTAACGTGCTATACGGTGTTCCATTGTAAGTCTCAGGACAATGACAGCGACTCTGGCCCTAATTTCAGACTGTCTTAAGATGTGCCCAACAGTTTCTAAAAACACACGTACATTTCGAGACTTACATACGTAAGTCTTGGCTAAGTCATGTTGAAGTTGACTTCCAGTCACATGTCTTTGACGCAAAGCCTGAATGACTAAAAATCTATTATCCATATCATGATACTATGACTATAAGATAAGATATTGCGCATGTTTTTGTGACGTCATTGGAGACTTGCACGTTCGAAATGTCAGTTTTTTGTATATATCAATAAATAATCTTTAATAAATAGTTTGGAGATATCCTTATGTGTACGATTATTGTAATTATTAAACCTCTTAACTTATTTTCGTCTAGTAATTTCATCACAGAATGCATACAAATCTCATTTAACTTTAACAAGAATTCAAATTCTAGTCTCCAATGATTTATACCTACTAAATTTGCCACATATTCCTGACTCGTTCCGTCAGTTTCCATACTCAATATATAATACGAAATTTTAGATCAAACGCAAACTGTATTCTGTTTACAAAAGTAAAAACAAAGACTGATAATATAAATACCAGACAAAATAGCAATTAATATATTTTTTTCTTAAACAGTAAGCTGTATTTACGTTCTTTTACGTTTAAGTTCTTTTTAATATTTATTCTTGCCTTAATTATTCTTCAGGGCCAAAAATAAATAATTTAAATTAACCAAATGCTGTCAGAAATATTTGCAATTTTATATAGTGATGGGATACTTTTTTGGAGAAGCATATTAATAAAAATGTATTGTATCAAATAAAATGTCTTCTTCTGCTTTAAACGCATTCTTTATTATAAAGGTTGCTTAAAATAACGAAACTCTAACTTAAAACAAACAGGTCGAGTTGTTATAAGGATTAACCATAACATTCTCATAAGTTTGTTAGCCAAAAAAATTATCTTATTCTGAAATGGCTTCTGACGTGCAATTTGCCTTGGATTATAAACCTCAAGATGCTCTAATTATTATATGTCCGAGATATTGCAGTTTCTTGTTATTTTCTGTTTAGTTTTTTTTTCTGCCTGCATTCTTCTTAATACTTTAAAATTTTTAACGTCATTCATTCATAAGATCTTTAAACTTCTTTCATTTGTTCAACTCTTCTAGGAAGTATCTCCTTTTGATCTAACGTTCACAAGTGAATTATACGAACAAGACTTACGCAAATGGCCTTGGTTACACGAAATATTTAAACAGATGTTCGAGCAGCACGATTGTCTCACGAATAGTCTATACCACGCCACGAGAGACATTAGAAATGTTAAATATTTTAGACTGTATAGACAGTTATAGAGAGTTTGTATTCGATTTAACCTCAAAAATGAGTGTCTCATTAAGAATGAATGAACGGGAGCTGGTTAGATTTGGAGAATTGTACTAAACTGAGTCTGTACTCTGAAATGTAACTGATGCAAGGTATAACAAAATAGACGCACATAAAGCAGCAGTAGAAAAAATGGTTGCTCAGCTATAAATTAAAATTTTTACAGCAGTATTGCATTTTTGCAAGAATTGAAGAAGAATAAAAATAGCACCAATTCCGGCTGTTTCGTTAACGATATTTATGTGGCAAAGGTAGTCTGTTTCCGATAATACAGAGACTTCTAATCTCACACACGTAAAATCAAAAAAAAACTCATCCTTATTTTATAAGTAATTTTTATTATAATCGTATTGTAATTATATGTATCAAATCTTGTTTATTTATTATTTTTTTTTATCATTCGCCACTGCCATGGTACAGCGCATTGGTTATTAAAATAGTTCCAGTAGTCGTCTCGTTGGTTTTTAGATGTTTTGTGTGATATTTGAAAAAATACCCTTTTGTGTTGTAATGTTATTATTTAAAATTTTAAATGTATTTTTTAATATTTTTAACATATGTATGACAGTGTTCTTTACCACTAGGACCAACTCAACATTTTCAATGTGCTGATGAAGGTGACAGCCTATCACCAAAATTTCACATTTTGAATAAAGTTTTACACCAAACTGGCTTATACCATCTCTAGCTGATCCTTGTTTTGACGTTTTCCCGAAAGTTACCTACCAAAGAATTGTATTCTTAGCATCGTTATATAACTACACTAATATATATATATATATATATATATATATATATATATATATATTATATATATATATATATATATATATATAGAATGGATTTGCGGTTTTACCTAACTTGCTGTCAGAAAGAGGTCTCTCGACATTTTTGTTACTTTGTATAGATGTCGCGTACCTGCTGTTATTTTGGTTATACGGACCAAATACTAGACCGCAATTCATTTCAGTTATAACTTTACTTTCACAAGTGTTCCTGATGATGAGTTGAATAACTGGAAACCCGTGACACATGTAGAGCAATGGTGGAGTTCCGATTGAAATGTAATCTTTTACTTTCATTAAACGTATTTCTCTACGTAAAGAGCGAAAAATATAGTATTTTTCAAAGGTGCACGGTTCACCTAATTTGTTATCAGAGAGATTAGTACTAATATACTCGATAGTACTAATCGAGTAACGACGAGAAGTAGATCCACCAGGCTTGAGAATGGCAAGTGAGACCTTGCCGAAACGTCGCCAAAAACAATGGTTTTCAAGAAAACCAGCACTTTACAACGCGGAGTCAAACCCGGAAAAATAGTGACAGCACATATAGCTCCCGCGGAAACCTCAAACAAACATATATATATATATATATATATATATATATATATATATATAATATATATATATAATATATATATATATATATATATATATAGGTATATACTGAAAAAGCGATAAACGCTTGTAATCAACGCTGATCAAATAGAATACAAAACTCAAATATTTGGGTGTGCAGCGGAAGATAGGACAAAGAAGTACACTTTTTAGTTTAACAAGCTTTCGCAAATCTTTATTTGCATCATCAGGGTGCTACAATAAACAGAATTAGTGCAAATTACAGAATAAAAATTACTTTGCTTCTTACACTAATTGAGGTTAGTTGTCGTGATGTTTATCAAATGAAATGGGCAACTCATTTGACCCCTACAAACGATATCGAAAACTATCCAAAATTAACTTTAAAAAACGTTCTGTAACATACAATATTTAAAACACTTAAAAACACATATGAATTAAAATTTAAATAAAATTATGTTAAAGACTTATGTAAGTCTTAATTATTCTATATCTCATATATAATGAAACACCGGAATAAAATTTCGCAAGTATGTAGCATCGACTATGATATGTTTATTGAGATGATAGAGTTCTGGTTTAATTCCACTTGCTTCTCTTTCAAGAACAAATATTATAAACAAACCTTTGACACTCCCATGGGAGCCAGTATCTCTCCAATTCTAGCTACATATGTAATGGATAAGCTGTTGGATATTGTTCTCCAGGTTGTTCCTTTTAACGTTCATTTTATTAAAAAGTATGTTAATGACATTATTATGTCGTGCCCACAAGATTTAGAAACTGAGCTCTTAGACATTTTCAATAGCTATGACCCCCACATTTAATTTACTCTTGAAAACGAGGATCAAAACCAATCTGTTC